CGAGGATCTAAAATACTTTCAGAAAATATCCGTTAATATAAAGGCAAAACTACAGGAAAATTGTCCAAAAAATTTTAATTATATTGCACTTTTATCAATTTAGGTCTAAACCCTTAAATTTTGCAAATTCAGTCCTGAACCTTTTCACGTTTTGCCAATTGAATCCATTTAGCCAATTTTGTCGGAAATCGTTGATATGGACTTCAGTCGTCCTATGTGGCACTGCTGGCACTGATGTAGAAATTTTTTAATAATGTTTTGAATTATTCATTTTTTTATTTTTCTTTTCTTCTCTTTTCCTTCTTTTCTTTTCCTTTTCTCGATTTCCTTATTTCCATCCACCGGGTCTTGTCCACCTCCGCCGGCCTCAAGCAAGGGCGGCCCACACTCGCCCAGGCGAGGGCTACCTTCGCCAACCTCAGGCAAGGGTCGCCTCGCCTAGGCAAGTGTGGGCTACCCACGATCTGGCGCGGGTTGCCCTCACCAGCCTAGGCCCGGTCATCCCTCGCCCAAGCCAGCGAGGGTGGCCCTCCCCCTGCCATCGACGAGGCCCGACGGTGGTTGGCGAAGGGAAAAAGGAAAAAATAAAGGAGGAAAAGAAAATAAAAGAAAAGAAAAGAAAAGAAAAAAAGAGGAGAAGAAATATGATAAAAAATTCAAAAAATATTAAAATATTATTAAAAATTGTTCACGTCAGCGCATGCCGTGCCACGTAGGACGGTCAGCGTCCATGTCAATAATTTCCTGTCAAAATTGGCCATATGGACTCAATTGGCAAAGCGTGAAAATATTTAAGATTCAATTGTCAAAATTGAAAGATTTAGGACTGAATTGACAAAAGCGCAATAGATCGAGGACTTTTCGGATAATTTTCTCCGAGAACTACAAACCCACGTCCTTTTTTATAAGTTTTGAAATATATACATAATTTTTATGCGGGCCTCTCACGTGTATATCTCAAACTTAGAGCTCATCGCTTCCATAAGACGAAAGCCCTCCTATTTGGTTATCGAAATCGCATGGGAGTTGATGAATCACGTCGACCAAAAGAATTTTCTAATGGAAGGCCCCTTTTTCTTGGAAATGGTGATTGGTGGGGTCTTCATTCTTTGTTCATGGTACCGTTGGTTGTAGTTCAACATGTGCTTATGTGAACATATTTGTACACTTGTTGGCTAGGCGGTGACCCAAAACCCTAGAAAGTCCTTAAAAAACCACGTAATTACCTAAAGTATGAAATGTTTTGGCTTGCTGAATTTCGACCTTTTGTGTGAGACGGCCTAATTTTCTAAAAAAAAAACTCTCAATTTTATGTTCAATTCTAATCCTGCCATGAATTTTTTTTTTCTAGAAAAAATCACAAACTTTCACTTCAGTTGTAAATTTGTTCCCCATGAACCCGTCATTAAGAAATTGTCACTAATTTCTTCCAAATTATCAATATTAGGGTCACTTAGAGGTTCAATAATCAGAACCTACATCTTTATCAACACTTACAGGAACAACAACAGTTTTCGGATGTTAATTATTTTGAAGAAACTAAAGGCGACTTTTGAACTGAGGGTTAATGGGGGCAAATCTAGGACAAAAGCGAAAATTGGTGATTTTTTCATAGACAAAAAGAATCGGGACAGAATTGGGATTATGCCTAAAGTTATGGGTTTTTTTTAGGGGAATTAAGCCTATATATATATAATTTGGTAAGATATATAAGCTTGGCATCAAATTTAAAAGTGGTTTTATAATTACGTGAGATCTATTATAACGGATCCTTTTGAGCGCCAAAACTGTGGTCGTCCTAATTATAATTTGGACTTAATTTGACTCTCCACAGGATATTATATCAATAGAATAGTGCCATTCATGGAGCAATTTTACTCATCAGTTTAATTGATCCACGTGCTCCTGCTTGATTCACGTGCTTTTGCTACTTTTTTTTACCACTCAACAAACTCAATTTCCTGGTGCTCTCCCTCTCTCACCCTATGCATCGTATTGCTCGCTTCCTTGAGACGGAATCCAATTTCTTTTATTAACTATTCCCCCATGCATGATTCAAAACGATCCATTCGGATCCCAAATCACGTGCTAATTCTCCAATTACTATGATTTTGAGACATGTTTAGAGTGCGTTTATTTCTCTGAAATTTCAGGATAAATGAAAATATTTTCTATGAAAACCATTTTCAATAATAAAAAAAAAGAAGCTATTAGTTTTAATTGGTTTGATGATTCAGGGAAAGCGTTTTTCTTCTTACCAGAAGAGGAAGTCGTTTTCTCCCGATCTAAACTTGACGGCTTTCGGCTTAGGTAATTAAATCCAGATAACATAAGTTGTCCGCTAGAAAGCAATTCGCTCATTAATTATATGCGGAAAAACACAAGTATTTAGGTTTCGACCATAGATTCCGTTTATTTCGTAGTCCGTAGGAAAACATTTTCCTCATTCTCCAACATTTGAATCGTTTAGGAAAATGAGTCAACAAAAAAAGCTTGTCATTATCAATGGAAAACTTATAATTTCATAAAATAAATTTCCTCTTTTAAAAAACAAAAAGCTATTTCTGCGATATGACCGGTCCTCAGTGCTTAGACCAAAACCTAGGGGCTTGGGGACTGGGATTTCGACGCCTATACCCGAGTCCTCGGCAGCCGGGCTCGGGTCCTTAGTGGCCGGGCCTAGGACCTCGGTAGCCATACCTGGTACCTAACTCCCACTCCCAAGCCACTAGCGCTCGGGCCTAAGTCCCTCGAGGCTGGCCTTGAAACCCTAGTGCTCGTAATCGAGTACTTGGCAACAGTTCCTAGGTACCATGCTCTTGCGCTAAAGTCATCGGCGCCTGTGCTTGGATTTCCTGTGCCTAGGCCTAAGAAACTTTGGCGCCTGCAACCGGGACCTCGGTGCCCACGTTTGGGACCCTGATGGCTAGGCCCGAAGCCAAGGCCTAGCCCCCGACGCCCGAGCCGAGGTCCTCAACACCCAGCTCCAAGACATCGGCGGCCGGGCTTGGGTCCCCAGAGAACGGGTCCAAAGACCTAGATCTTATCACCACGTCGAGAAGTTCTGGAGTCCATCATCAAGAAGTTGGTTTCTATTGCTCAGACCCGTAGTTTCCATTCATTTTCTAACACACACTAATCAGTATGTTGTCCCCCGATTACCGTATCATAATTAGATATTGTTAAGAGTTTATCGCTAATCTTTTTATAATAATATTTGATCTCAACTGGTTCAGGTTTCATTGGCTGCTAGTTAAGATTGTCAGAAGGTTTATTGCAGGAGTGGGGCTCGTCTATTTTAGTGGCTAACCACTCAGGGAAGTCAAAAAAATAATCTAAACCTATAGTACATGGAGCGTACGTATCTTGACGTTCCACCATCTAATGCAGTGCGTATTGCTCCAGATGAAGACCACCCCAGACCGTGCAATCTCGGAGACCGCCGCCACCGGCCACCGCCACCGCTGTGAGAGCCGGGCCATCCACATTGACTAATTAACTAACCCGAGGTCCGAGTTCGGAGGAGTTCGACGGATGATCAGCTCTTTCGGCACGCGATTCGAGAGTCGCGAAAAATCAAGACGAAGTTCCTCCGGCCACACGCTCCTGAGAACGGATGCTCACACTCCATGGCTCGCCGGCCTCCCCGATCCGTGCCGCAAAAGGGGAAACATGAGAAGGAAAAGTCGATAACAAGAACATTTCAACCACGCGTTCTAAATTTTCCTTATCTTCGTTACACCGAACTCTACAAAACCCATATAAATCAACAAATTTTAGACAATCTAAAAATCCAACAAAATAACGTCGACGTCAAAAACAATATATTATATTGTCATATTGTCAACATTAGAAAAGATTTTTTTAATTCGACATAATTGATAATTTTAAAAAAATCGAATGAAATAATCAGATAGAGACGCGGGCGACGCTTTCCATTTCCACTGCTCTTTACCTGGACAGTCTCAACCGGGGGGTGGGGTAACGACAAACTCCCCGGCGGGCCCCACCCGCCCTACGCCCCCCCCCCCCCCCCCCCCGGAAATCTCACTTTTGGCAATTTCACAATTAAAAAAGAAATCTTAATATTAAAAAAAAGCATATATTATAATAAAAATAAGGAAACAAATCGGGACGTACCAAATTGCCTCTCCCCCTATCCAAAAATATCATTAAATTCCCCTAAATAAAAATCCCACCGCCTCCTCTCTCTCTCTCTCTCTCTCTCTCTCTTTCTCCCACTCCTAAACTTCCCCGTTTTAGAACCAGCGGCAGTTGCCCCCTTTTACGTATCCTCGCCCCATACAGTGGGGCAACAACTAATTGCATAATATAAGGAAAAATGACGTAAAGGGTTTCTGAATTTTGGCTCAATCCGTAACGTGATTCACGAACTTTAATTTAATATGCAATGCGATCCTTGAAATTTTGGTACATATTCAATTTGATCCCTGAGCTATACGTAGTCCATGAACTGGAATTAACGGAAGGACTGACATGTACCGGAATTCCAGGAATCCATTTTAAACAAACAAAAAGTTCAGGGACCGCATTACATATTGGGGTAAAGTCCATGAACTATATTAAACAAATTTAAAGTTTAGAGATCACAAGTTCATAAACTGTTTGTGTCATTATCTTCATATATATATATCGCGTGACGTCAATTATGGAAATATGACGCGATTTTATTTCCTTATTTCCATGCGCTACGCATAGCTTCGATATATAAAATCTGACCGAGGTCGATTTATTTTATTTTATTGATTAATGAAATTTTAAAGAGAAATCCAAAGATGGGAATTAAATAATTAGTATAATCACAACCTGTTGCCCACATGACCCACTTGTATTCGTCACCTATTTCTCGTCAACCCCCACCCCACCGCCACCATCCCCCTTATTAAAAGTCTCCTCCACCCTCTTCACTCCATTCTTACTCTCCCGACACCACAAACCAAAGGCGCACCTCGCCGCCGCCGCAAGTTGACCCGCCGCCCCCAGCCTCCGGCCACCGCCCATGGCTGGCCCCTACGCCCCCTACCACCCCACGGCCAAGCCCTCCGCCGCCGCCTCCACCACCTCGTCGTACCTCATGATCAGAAACTCCAGCTTCTCCACTTGGATCCTCGTCCTCATCCTCTGCTTCATGTCCTACCTCCTCGGCGTCTGGCAACACGGCGGCCGCGTCGCCCCCGCCACCTTCTCCGCCGCCTCGGCCACCATATCCACCATCCCCTGCCCCTCGTCCCCCGCCAAGAGATCGTCCCCTGCCTCCTCCGCCACCCCCGGCGCCACCCTCGACTTCGAGTCCCACCACCGGCAGGACGACGCCGGGGACGCGGAGCTCGACGACCGCCCCAGGACGTACCCGGCGTGCGCGGCCAACTTCAGCGAGTACACGCCCTGCGAGGACGTGACGAGGTCGCTCCGGTTCGACCGGGACAGGCTGATATACCGGGAGCGGCACTGCCCGGACAAGAGCGAGCAGGTGAAGTGCCGGGTGCCGGCGCCCTACGGGTACAGGATACCGTTCCGATGGCCAGCGAGCAGGGACCTGGCGTGGTACGCCAACGTGCCCCACAAGGAGCTCACGGTGGAGAAGGCGGTCCAGAACTGGATCCAGTACCAGGGCGACCGCTTCCGCTTCCCCGGCGGCGGCACCATGTTCCCCCACGGCGCCGACGCCTACATCGACGACATCGGCGAGCTCATCGACCTCAAGGACGGCTCCATCCGGACCGCCATCGACACCGGCTGCGGGGTGAGTATCTCCAACATTTCAATACATCAATCTACTCCAATTCAATCACTACACAACGTTATTCTTTTCATCGGATTTGATTTCCCGTATGATGTTGAATTGTGTTCGGTCAATGTATGGTGCAAGAAACTGTGCTATCCTTCTCCGACGGTCAACTTTCTGCGCATTATGGAAAATCTTTTAATTATTGATTTGCATATGGATCGAGTTTGCCTAGGAGGCGAAAACGAGTGGATCGGTCAGAATTGCTAATGTTTCTTTAAAATGGTAATGAAATTTTTTTTGGATACTTAAAGGTTTGACTGGCCCGGCTCGACTTGCCATGTTGAATCTTTCATTGGAGAAATAGAAGGAAATTTCTCGCTGGCTAAGAATTAATAATAATACGGTACGCGTCTCGAGTCATAGGAATCATAATCTTATTTGCCCAATTCGATTCCTTCTTTGAAAGAGGAATCGAATCTCTTGATTTGATGCTAATAGATTCCGTTTAAGGCGCAATTAGTGAGGTAACTCGCCAGTACTATGTGAATTTGAATTTTTTTATGTCTAGGAGATCGGTCATTGCGTGAATTTTGATCGTTAAATTTTCTGTACGTTTGAATTTTTCGTTATTCATGGGGTCGAATCATCGTGCTCGAGCGTAGGTGGCGAGCTGGGGAGCTTATCTTCTGTCTCGGAACGTGCTGACGGTGTCGTTCGCGCCGAGGGACACGCACGAGGCTCAGGTACAATTCGCCCTCGAGCGAGGGGTGCCGGCCCTGATCGGCGTCCTCGCGTCCAAGAGGCTTCCGTACCCGTCCAGGGCGTTCGACATGGCACATTGCTCTCGATGCCTCATTCCTTGGGCCCAATCCGGTAATCCCCGCGTGCTAATCTTTCTCGTAATCAGTCGGTTGCTGGTGAAAAAATTGCAATCGGAACGAGTCGAGTCGAATGTAACTGACTATTCGATTGGTATGCACAATAGGCGGAGCGTATTTGATGGAAGTGGATAGAGTCCTGAGGCCGGGCGGGTATTGGATCCTGTCGGGTCCGCCGATCCGGTGGAGGAAGTACTGGAGGGGCTGGAATCGGACCCAAGACGACTTGAGATCGGAGCAGAACTCGATCGAGAGGGTGGCCAGGAGCCTGTGCTGGACCAAGCTCGTCGAGAAGGGCGACATCGCCGTCTGGCGAAAGCCCACCAACCACATGCAATGCAAAGTGAACCGGTTCTGCCCCACCCGAGATCCGGATAGGGCCTGGTTCGTAGTCTGTTTTGCCTTGACTAATTTTTGTGCTGATTGACAATGACTGTCAAGAAGAAAAACTAATGCTCCATAAAATACCACTGATTTACTAAATGGGTTCGATTCCTTTCAGGTACACCAACATGGACACCTGCTTGACCCGGCTACCGGAAGTCTCCGGCGACGAGGAGGTCGCAGGCGGCCAGGTGGCGAAGTGGCCGGAGAGGCTCAATGCGGTCCCGCCCAGGATCGGCAGTGGTACAGTGCGGGGAGTCACGGCAGAGAACTTCCACACCGACACCGAGCTCTGGAAGCGCAGGGTCTCATACTACAAGACGGTGAACAACCAGCTGGGGCAGGCCGGGAGGTACCGGAACCTGCTGGACATGAACGCACACTTGGGCGGCTTCGCGGCGGCGCTCGTGGAGGACCCAGTCTGGGTCATGAACGTTGTCCCCGCGGAAGCCCAGGTCAACACGCTCGGAGTCATATACGAAAGAGGGCTCATCGGGACTTATCAGAGCTGGTAAATCCTGGAATTTGCCCACAACTCCTTCCATCTATCTTTCGTTTTTGGGGCAATGTTGTAAGTAATGCTGTCTGTTGAAATCCTGGACCAGGTGTGAAGCCATGTCTACTTATCCTAGGACTTATGATCTCATTCATGCCGACTCATTGTTCACCCTCTACAAGGACAGGTATTTCTCTTCAATGATCTATCCTCTGACCCTCTGATTCGATTAAGATAACCTATTTGTTAATGTTCTTGGTTGAATGTGTGTATGATTATGAACAGGTGCGAGGCAGAGGACATATTGCTGGAGATGGACAGGATCCTGAGGCCAGAAGGGAGTGTGATCGTACGGGACGACGTGGACGCTTTGGTGAAGTTGAAGAGGATGATTGACGGGATGAACTATGACAGCCAAATCGTCGACCATGAGGACGGGCCACTCGTGCGGCAGAAGCTTCTCTTCGCTGTCAAGTCCTACTGGACAGCCCCATCGCCTTCCAATCACCGCCGATCCTCCACTTCTTAGGAACCTAATCAAGTCGCTTTCTGCGTTTCTTTTTCTTTTTTTCTTTTTTTTCTTTTTCATGTTTTCAGCAATTCTTTCATGATGAAAAGTTCCAGATAGATCCAGTTCCAACAAACCCCAACTCTTCGAAGGTCTTCGCCTATCAAAACGAAATGGGGTCCAATTCGTGTAACACACATTTGACGATGAATTGGGTGCTATAGAGCCTATAGGTCACTCTTCTTCTTTGGTTCGTTCTCTCATTTTTAGGGTTCCAAGTGATTTGTTACCTGTAGTCTGCGCAATTTGGTTGTATGTAATCCCGAAAGCAATAATGTTCGTTGAAGAATGTTTATCATCTCCCTTCTTGCCCTTCGCCACGATGCCATTCTTGAGCTAATTCTGAATGCATCATGCCTTTGAAGGTTGAAGTTGTCTGCTGTGTTTGGTGTTCGAACGAGGTCACAACGCGTGAAATGGACAAAGTAGAAGGGTCCTAGGTGAAATAACCAGTCCTCTTTCAAGCCTAGAAGTTAGGGCAACATCGAACTTGAGCCTAGAAATTTGACCATCAAAACCTGGCAGGATCCTCATTAATCCATTGGGATCTCGAGGTTTTGCTGTGCTTGCCGAGGAGGCATTTGAATCGTAATGGCAAGGGAATACCTCGTACATTGCCCAAAAAAAAGTTTCATTACTTCATTCTGTGGACGATTCTTGTCTCTTTTAAACTTATCTTATTTCAACTGGATGGCAAAACCCAAAAAAGCTTGCAGTAAAAAAATAAGGTGCTGGATCGAGGGTTCGAATTTCGTGGACTCCCTTGGATTTAGCTATGTGCAAAGTTTTCCCAAAGTACACAGTATATGGTACGATTTTTGAAAGAAATTATTGAATACACTGGTGCATACATCCAAATGTACTTGAATTATGCAATTTGGTACACCTGCTTTGCATATCAGATCCCCCAAATTTTTAGGGGATATTGACACAAATGATCTTTGAACTTTGGCTTAATGTGCAATGTGATCCCTGAACTATTAATTTATCCAATGTGATCCTTGAACTTTACCCTAATGTGTAATAGTAGTCCCTGAACTTTTAATTTATTCAATGTGGTCTCTGAATTTTTTGTACATGTTCAATTTAATCCCAAAACTATATAAAAATATTCAATATTAGGGACAATATTGAATATTTTTATATATTTTTTGGACCAAATTGAACATGTACCAAAAATCCAGGGACTACATTGAACAAATTAAAAAATTTTGGATCACATTGCCCATGAGGCCAAAGTTCAATGATCATTTGTGTCGTTTTCCCAACTTCTAATTGTTTGAGTACCATATATACATATTTCTCATCATTGTATTTCTTTCCACAGAAAATTGTTGATTATAAACTTCTCATCCATATTCACAGTACAGAAAAAAGAAATTCATGTTTTTGCATGGAAAAATAGAATTGTGTGTAAGAGAAGCTATGAGTGTTTGAGGGTGTTATAATCATAAGAGTGATTTGTTATAGTTCTATGCACTCCGACTTTGATATAACGAAATTTTGCTCTACGCTGGCCTATATGGACGTATACCAGTGATCTAATCAAGATATCACTTGTATTATCTTTTTCCTTAGTGTATGAATAAATTGAAAATCATCCCACAAGAATTAACAGCTAAACGCAGGCAACGCAGATGCAATGATATCAAAACCATGGCAAATTAGGTGGTTCATGCTAAGAAAAGAAGCACTCACCCTCCCACAAGCTAATATATATAGGGCAAAACTCTTGCACGTACCACTCATATACGCAAATCACATCTGCTAACAATTTAAAGTAGTAGGAGTTTTCGTCCCTCAGAAAACAAGTGATCGTCGATCAACAATGGCATCAGTTCGGGCCACGTTGCTGATGATGTTCCTGGTGGCGCTCGTGGCGGCCCAGACCCAGGTGGGCGAGGTGCGAGCGCAGAGCTGCCCGAGCCAGATGGCTAGCCTGAATGTGTGCGGGCCGTTCGTGGTGCCTGGGTCGAGCAGGAGGCCGAGCTCCGAGTGTTGTGGTGCGCTCCAGGCGGTGGAGCATGACTGCCTCTGCAGCACTCTTAGGGTCGCCACCAGCCTTCCTTCGGCGTGCCACCTCCCTCCCGTCTCGTGTGGTAAGTCGTATCTCTTCTTGATTACAGCGTTGTTCTTTCTTCCTGTGACGGTGGACCGAATCTAAACCTGTCCGAATCACATTTTTTGCAATTTAGCAACTTAAGTTTTTCTTCGGTCTCGACTAGGATTGAGTACACGCATTAGAACAAAATCCTAGACTAAATTTTCACATGGATTGGTATCATAAGAGAGTTCTATGAGGTGCGGTAAAAGCAAAACAAAGAACAGGTAAATTTGAAAAGTTATATCACTCTCTTTTCTCCTTGAAATTGCAATGTTGTTGAACGTACCTTTCACCTTACCTTTTTGTTTCTTTTGCCATTTTTGCAGATTGAAATCGATGAAGACCTCGGTGACTGCTGATCTGCTGGCTAATGAGTTGAATAATATAATGAACTCTTTCCATTTTCTGTTTATCTTTGTTTGATATTTCCCGGCGTGTTTCCTCTGAAAACTCTGCGGATGCCTTGTGGACCAGAGGTGGGATCGCCTACACTTTCATGAAATAAAAGAATTCTGGTTATCGCTCTTGCGATTTTAATTACGACTAAGGCATGGCCTATACAATATGATAATTTTCCCTCTTGCAGCTCTTCTATCTTCTATTCGAAAATTGACAATGAACTATATGGCCAAAAATAGAAAAAGATGGAGAAAACAAAAGCTAATGGATTAAGTGTGGTTTTGTGAAGGGAATAAACATGTTCGACGGATAACAACAACAGCAGCACATATGGGAAGATGTAAGTATTGGAAACTTAAAAACATGTTATCAAGATCAAAGATATATAAGGCCGTTTTTTACGTGGCTGGCATTTTCTTTTTGCCCAACCATTCCGGACAGTCGACGGTCAAACATATTTAAGCGTCGAGACATTACAAAAATTGAGGAAGTGTCTTCGGCCTCAGATTCATCTGCAGCGGATTGAACTGAACCCCAGAAATGGAATCTCTCGTGTAAAACAAGGATAAGGCGACAAGAGCACCTAGTATCAATAGTCATTCCGAGAGAGCGATCTCCACTCTTTAAATATATATTCTCATTGTCCTGCTCACCCAGACGCTTCTGTTATCGCTGATAAAGATAGAAACTGTTTTTGGAAAGCATGTGAAATGCGAAAGTTACTATCAAAATAATTCATGGAGATTGATATTCTATATTACAATATGACAAGCTATATTGTCGAATTCTAGCTAGGAATAGTTTGTTACAAAATAAGGCGATCCACTTTGCTTTTCGCAATCCCTATTTTTAGAAACTAATCAAGTATAATCGTGTACACATTCACATCATTACCAAAGAATGCTGAGCGAGGCGCATAATAACATTGCAGACAAGTGTTCCCAAATCTCACGAACCGCTCTTATCAGTCTTTGATTTGTTTTTGAGCCTAGTTTCTCTAACCAGTATCTCAAACGTACTTACCCTGAATCTAATGGTGCAGAACTTGCAAGAGATCAATGGTCAATTTTCTGAGATAGTGTAATGAATTGGCTCCTAAATGGACAAAAAAAAATAACTTTCAAAGCCATGAACACATCAGATTTGAGGCCAAAAATGACCTCAGATGGATCTTACAGTTTAGCTATAGTAGTACAAATTTTCCTCTTAACTCTACCGAATCAAAAGTTATGACCCATTTATTGAGGAACATGCAAACTCTTACTTTCTGTCACGTTTTTTTTTTCAGAATCTATGATGTAAACGCCGCAGAAATTCGTTAGCAACGGCGTCTGCATAAAAAAAAAAATCTCTCTTGATATGATATGTTTCCACTTGAACTTAATTGCGATGGTGAAGGAGATTGAGGGATTGCCGATTATAGCACGCTTTATGCTTCAATGTGGGTGATCAAAGCTTCCTTCATATCATAGAACGCAATCAATTCCTCAGAAGGCGAAAAGAAAAACATTTCGATCACAAAGGAACTCTTATGTATTTCGTTGTTATAGGGAATAACGATCGAGTACATATTCTCAGTCCTCTTGCTAACTTGAACTTGAAGGTAGATACACCTTCTTTATTCGGCACTCCATTTAACTTCAGGCTGCGAGTTCACTTCTCGATCGCTCTCAGCTCTATAACCTGCATCATTCATTAAGCAGGAGAAAGAGATTATTGGCAGAGACATATTGCTCGAGAAACTTAGTAAAAATACATAAAGTAGACTTCATTGATCACAGTTATAAATAGCGTGAGAAAAATCTATGATCGCTCTGTCTTGATCTTTCTTTTCTTTCGTTTGAATGACTTCAGTGGCAGCATGAACTCCTATGTGGTTCACAGATAACAAAAAAAGTTCCCCAGAAAGAGGGAGAGAAAGAGAATGGGATGGTGGGCTCACTAGTTGCAGTCGGTGTTCGGGCTGATGCTGAACCCGAGAGAGACCCCGCAGAACCCGGCGAGGGTGGCGATCGCAGTGGCGTTCGGGCTGTAGGCGTCGATGAGGCCCATGAGGCACGTGCACACCGCGCGCCGGTCCTCCAGGGGCTCCGCCACCATGTTGAGGGTGGTCATGGCGTCGCAGCACGGCGTCCCCGGGTACGGGTCCGGCGTCCCGTAGGCTATGAAGGCGGAGCACGTCGACACAAGCGCCGTCACGGTGGCGCAGTCCACAGCCGCTTCAGCAGCCCCAAGGAATAAGAGGGACGTCGCCGTCATCATCATCCTCGACACTAGCCGCAGCGACAAAGTCCGCGTTTGGACGCTGCGCCCTCCCATTGCCCCCGTTTCTCTGCTATCAACAATGCCTCCTCTTAATTAGCTGGTTGGATTGATGAACTGAAGACGGAGAGGGGGGTTGGTGGGCAATGAGATATGTGCATGGCCATGCAAACTCATGGAGTTCGAATGTCGCTCCCTCTCTCTATCAAACATATGTTGATGTAAATAATATGCAGAAATGAAGAGCAAGAGGTGTCGTGGTGTAGTTGGTTATCACGTCAGTCTAACACACTGAAGGTCTCCGGTTCGAGTCCGGGCGACGCCATTTTGATTTTGATTAATTTCTTTTTTGGCCTCTTTATAAAAAAAAAAAAATTTCTCTCAATTGAAGCGCTTGATTTCTTCTTTCTATGGTATTTTTTGCCCTTGGAAATACTGAGCTTCAGCAATATAATCAAGTGCTTTATTCATGAGAACTTCAGAACTCACAAAATGAGAAAAATTAAACAAAAAATTAATGCAAATTTATTAGAAATGTTCTATTAATGGAACTTAAAGTCTTAAAGAGATACTCATTTTGTGCAGGATACAAGAGGTAGGTGATTTAGTAATTAAAATGAAAATATCGATCGTCGCAGTTAAATTTCTAATTATAATTTCAGGTACGTAATTTACTTGCAAGTCTGGTCATGGCTCGCGTAAAATAATTTTGAAATAATTTAAAATCATTCATAATGATGGAATCATTTTCTTCAATGTGCTTTAGTGGGATTGGTTCCCCCTACTTTTTTCGAGTTGGGAGTATAGAGGATTAATTGACTCATCAAACGGAAAATTTTTGTGCCAAAAGAAGAATTGCATTAAGTGAAGGCCAAACCCTGAACTCATTCTGATCTGATTTTTGGTATGGTGTTTGATTAAGAACCAAAGTATCTTCTGTTAATTTTCGTGATTTTTTGAGAATATTTAAGATTAAAACCCGTTTTGCATGAGGCATGATGCCAAGGTCCCGTCTTGATCTTAACTTTTTTCGAAAGATAATGGATATATCAGGATTTTATATTAGTTCGATGAATAGATGATGCAATATTGGGTTTTAGTTAAATTTTGTATCCAAGCACATTTGGGTTTGAAAAATTCATTTTTCAAGCAGGATATGATATATTTTGTTTGTACGGAATGAGAAAGTTGGGAACTGATTTTTGAGGTTGTTATATTGTCATTATAGGGAGAAAATATCCAGTGATATCTAAGCGCCACGTCAGCCGCGCAGTTATCCAGTCAGATCGACTCACGTTTGGATTATAAATGCATAGCAGCTTTATTAAAAAAATTTGAAATGGCTGCTCAACTTTCTCTTTCCCCCTTCAACTCACCTTTTCCTTTGTGACAAAATAGAATGACAAAAATCGCACCTTTGTTCCCTCCTTGCTCGAACGCTCCTTCCTCAACTCCAGCTCTTCGCTCGAACGCTCCTTTCCCAACTCCACATTCATCGTCTCGCTCTCACCTCTCCATTCCTCTCCTTAACGCCTCGCACTTGCCAAGACCCAGATCCGACCCCCCCACCCGCCCAAGACCCCCCAGTCTCACTACTCACTCCTAAAGGAGCCGTCGCCCAGCTACAGCAACCGTCCTCCCAAGGAGATGATCCTCCCCAACGGCTAAGGTAGCGAATGATAACCATTACATTCGGAATGAGTTCTGAACCGAGAAATAGATTTTTCTATTTACGGTTCCTGATGAGTTTACGAGAAAAAAACCCGTTTGATAATGACAAAAATTTCTATTTCTAGAACAGAAACCCGTTTGATAATAGCACAAAATTTCTATTTCCTGAAATAAAAACCCGTTTGATAAACAACAGAAAATTCTATTTCCAAGAACAAAAATCTATTTTTTTAGAAATGGAATAAAAATAATAAAAAATCCGAAAAATTCATAAAAATCTTTAAAAAAATTCATAAAATCCCAAAAAATTGAAAAATTTCAGAAAAAATCATCAAAATGTCGAGAAAATAAAAAAAAATTAGATTTCGGGAAAATAGGACATTTGTTGAATTTTTTCAAAAAAAATCAAGAAATCAAAAATTTCAAAACTTCACAGAATTGCTTAGAATACCTGTGGCCACCCACTTTTAGTGAAATTTAAATTTTTTTAGGTGCCCAAAAAAAATCAAAAAATCAAAAATTTCAAAACTTCACAGAATAGTTTAGAATACATGTGGCCACCCACTTTGAGTGAAATTTAAATTTTTTAAGGTGCCCAAAAAAATTCAAAAACTCAAAAATTTCAAAACTTTACAGAATGGCTTAGAATACCTGTGGCCACCCACTTTGAGTGAAATTTTAATTTTTGGAGGTGAAAAAAAAGAAAAAAATCAAAAATTTCAAAACTTCATAGAATGACTTAGAATACATGTGGCCATCCACTTTGAGTGAAATTTAAATTTTTTTAGGTGAAAAAAACATAAAAAATCAAAAATTTCAAAACTTCACAAAATGACTTACAATACCTCTAGCCACCCACTTTGAGTAAAATTTAATTTTTTTTAGATGCCCAAATGGTATTTTTTATTTTTTTTTTATTTTTTTGGTTCCTAAAGAAAATTAAATTTCACTCAAAGTGGATGACCACATATAATCTAAGCCACTCTGTAAAGTTTTGAAAATTTTTCTTTTTTGCTTATTTTTTTTATCGACACCTACAAAAAATTAAATTTCACTCAAAGTGGGTGGCCACAGATATTCTAAGCAATTATGTGAAGTTTTTTATTTTTTATTTTTTTCGACACCTAAAAAAATTTAAATTTCGCTGAAAGTGGATGGCCATAGGTATTCTAAGCCATTTTGTGAAGTTTTGAAATTTTTTCTTTTTTTCTTTTTTTTTAATTTTTTTCGACACCTAAAAAAATAAAATTTCGCTCAAAGTGGGTGGCCACAGGTATTTTAAGCCATTCTGTAAAGTTTTGAAATTTTTACTTTTTTGCTTATTTTTATTTTTTTTGGCATATAAAAAAATTTAAATTTCACTCAAAGTGGGTGGCCACAGGTATTTTAAGTTATTCTGTGAAGTTTGGAAATTTTTTATTTTTTTCGGCACCTAAAAAAATTTAAATTTCACTCAAAGTGGATTGTCACAAGTATTCTAAGCCATTGTGTGAAGTTTTGAAATTTTTTATTTTTTGCTTTTTTTTATTTTTTTCGGCACCTAAAAAAATAAAATTTCGCTTCAAATTGGGTGGCCACAGGTATTCCAAGATATTCTGTGAAGTTTTTAAATTTTAGAATTTTTTTTTTGGCAACTAAAAAAATTAAATTTTGCTCAAAGTGGGTAGCCATAGGTTTTCTAAACCATTTTGTGAAATTTTGAAATTTTTTATTTTTATTTATTTTTTTCGGTACCTAAAAAAATTTAAATTTCACTGAAAAGTGGGTAGCCACAGATTCTAAACCATTCTGTTAAGTTTTGAAATTTTTGATTTTTTGCTTTTTTTTTCTCACCTCAAAGATCGTGACTTCCATATGAATATGTATGTTGAAGAAAATGAATTCCTCAGAAATGGTTCTCACTTTTGTTCCAGAAATGAAAAACCAACTTTTTTTTGGTTCTCATTTCGGTTTGAATCGTTTTGGAAGCAAACTTGTCCCGGAAATAGAAAAATGAAATTGCGTTACCAAACGGGTTTACGGTCCAAACGATTACGGAACAAAAAACCAGTGCAGACGAGGCAGAATGGTTTTCATGCGCACCTAAGACTACGAGCATTGGTTCATCGTCATGGAGTTCCCCACCGATTGCAAACCCTCCAAGGAAAGATGATAAACGCTTCCGTCAAAACCCTAGCCTATGTTGTCGCTAGGTAAAGAGTAGAAGAACCATCAATGCTATCTTTTTTTTCTTTTAATTTCTTGTCCTAGTTTAAGTTGAATGTGTTCGGTTTGTTTGTTTATTAGTAGCGTCAACATCTTGAAATTGGACGATTCCGGATTTTATAGAATGTCCCTTTGTACATGTAACTATGCAATAAATAGCTGCACTGAGAGCCTCATGGCTGTTCTAATATGTGTTTGATCTTAGTGTCTTATTAAAACTAGTTTTGATACGAGGCTGCCTCATGGTTGTTCTGATATGTGCTTGATTTTAGTGTCTTATTAAAACTAGTGTTGATATGAGGCTCTAAGTGCAGTTTTTTATTGCATAGTTACATGTACAAAGGGACATTCTATAAAATCTGGAATCTTCCAATTTCAAGATTTTAACGCTACTAATAAACAATCAAACCGAACACATTCAGCTTGAACTAGGACCAGAAATTAAAAGAAAACAAAAAGAGATAGCATCGATAGTTCTTCTGCTCTTTATCTTGCGACAACGGAGGCTAGGGTTTTGATGTAAGCATTAGCCATCTTTCTCGGAGGGCTTACAATCGGTGGGGAACTCCATGATAATGAACCAATGCTCTAGTCTTAGCCGTTGAGGAGGATCGTCTTCTTGAGAGGGCGATTGCTCCAGTTGGGCGACGGGTCCTTCAGGGACGAGTAGCGAGACCGGGGGTCATGGGCAGGTCGGCTTCGGGTCTTGGCAAGAGTGAGGCATTGAGGAGAGGAATGGAGAGGCGGGAGCGAGAGTGAGAGGATGAAGGTGGAGTTGGGGAATGAGCGTTCGAGCGAGGAGCTGGAGTTGAGCGAGGAGGGAACAAAGTAGTGATTTTTGAGGTTTTCTTTTGTCACAAAGGAAAAGGTGAGTTGAGGGAGTTGACAGAAAGCTTAGGGCGTGAACGGTAACCATTCTGCTCCAGAAATCAAATTCTTGCCAGAAATTGATTTCCGGAATTCTTGCCAGAAATTGATTTTTGGAGGAGAAATCTGTTTGATAAAATATAACTAATTTTGCTCCAGAAATTGATTTCTGGAACATAAATCTTTTTTTATTTTTTTATTTTTTTGGGCACCTCAAAAAAAATAAATTTCACTCAAAGTGGGTGCCCAAAGGTATTCTAAGCCATTTTGTGAAGTTTTGAAATTTTTGATTTTTTGATTTTTTTGGGCACCTCAAAAAAATTAAATTTCACTCAAAGTGGGTGTTCAAAGGTATTCTGAGCCAT